ACGTGAATTCTGCACAGAATCAATCTCATTGTTTTCACATTTCCGGACTCAATTTTTTAAAATAATACCTATTACATTTTAAAGACTAAACAAAGCATTACATTCCGGTTTTACGGATCTGAACCAGAAACCATCTAATTTTGGACTAGAATTATTCTGATCCTCAATCCTTAGTTTGGAGACCAATCTAAAATTTTATCAGTCAAACCCAGAACTAATTTTTCCAATTCAACTTTACCCATAATAAATTAAGGGGGGTGTATTGAATCCTGATTCTGTAATATTTTTGAATTCTAAAAATCAGTAGGTATTTAATTCAAATTTTAAAATATGAGTGTATTCAATTCAGTTTTTAAATAGTTATTTAAAATCTTGATGTATTGAGTTGGAATTTTGAAATATACTTTTAAATCCAATTGTATTCAAACGTTGATAGATTTCTAAAGATTTTTGAAAGCATGGATTTTGTTGGATTTTTTTACTTTGAGTATAATTTTGTCCAGCCCAATGAACCGTTTTAGTTTTTACTACAAATTTAATTTTATCTTGAATTTTGAAAAGTCATGAACATACATATATAGCTTTGTGACTTTCTAGTTGCCAGGGTTTGTGGCGGTTTCTGGCCTTGGGCATTAAAGTTTTTTTCGTTTCCTATTTATGTATGTTGCATGGGCTTGACGAAGGGTTGCGAGCACACGGAAAGAAAAAAAAAGTTAACCTCTAGCCGTGTGTTTCTTATGAGGGATTCTACAACTTTTTTTCACGCAATATTTTAGGAGTTGCTCTGAAGGGTCCTAGTAGAGAACTAGTGGCATTTTACGAATTGTACCAGGGGATTTAGAAGGGTTCTCTTTGTTCCTATATATTGTATGTGGGTTTAGGATTCGTGTTGTAATCCTAGACGGTTAAGTTGTACTTACACTATTTTTATAGTGGTGGTTTTTAGTTCTGTTAAGAGGAATTTTATGGGTTAAAATCTGTTGGGACTGAGCGTGCCCTCACCCCAGTCCCGCATTAGTATGATATTGTCCGCTCTAGGCCAAACCCTCACGAATTTGTTTTTGGGCACCTCCCAAAAGGCCTCATACTAATGGGGTTGGACAGTGGCGGATCCAGAAAATTGAAGAGTTGGAGGCATAATAATTAAAGACTTAAAGTCATAACATAAAGTAAAAAACCAAAAAATTACAAACACAAGTTTTGAAATACATAAAATTATACATTACAATTCTAATATGACAAACCATAAAACATGAAAAAATTACAACTGCCCTCTTCGAGTTTTCATCTTCTGAAACCGATCTATTACAGTTTCATTTTTAACTCTTTCAAGCATGTCTTTTTCCACATAAGATAATAAACAATCACTTAAGAACTCATCCCCAATTCGATTTCGTAAATATGTCTTCACAAGATTCATTGCTGAGAAGCATCTTTCAACACCTGCAGTTGCAACCGGCAAAACCAATGACAACTTTAGAAGTTTATATATCAAAGGAAAGGTGGCGTGTGTTTTCGTCTCTACCAATACCGTAGACAAATCACCAAGACCATTAAGATTTGAAAATCTGTCATCTAAAGTCACGTCCATAATATATGTCTCCAATTGATTCTGTAATTCTTTGGCATGAACTTCAGAGAAATCATTAGGATAAAATTGAGATAATCTCACCAATTTGGCCTCATCAAAGTTATATATGGAAAGAACCACGAGGACTCAAACAAGCCACACAACGGAGCAGCTCCATGTTTACTTCATTAAAACGGTCATTAAGTGATGCAACTTGTTGATCAATAATCACATAAAATAATTCAATACGATACCGTACCAAATTAGTTTTCCCTGTCCTACGTCGTGGATGATCAAGATCAACATATTCCTCATCCATGTTTAAAAAAGGAAGACCATACTCATCACAAAGAGAAGAAATTATTGCTATGAGAGATTCCCATCCTTCACTTCTTAACTTTTGCAATCGTTGCTTAGCAACTTCAACAAGAGATAAAGCATTTAAAATATCTTGATCTTTCCTTTGCAATGCCACGAACAATTCATGAGTTATTCCAAGCACATCCAACATCAAATGTAAGCAAAAAGCAAAGTCAAATTTCTTAAAATACCTCAAAACACCATGAGCTTGAGCTTGCTTTGTTGTGTCTCTAGCCTCATCCTTCATAAAATCAAGCACTTTAATAATCGAAAGATACAACTTCACTATATTTAAAAGTGACTTGTATGAGATCCCCAACGCGTATCCCCAGGTCTTTTGAGACAAAGCTCTTGATTCAACCCACTTCCATTTTCAATCTCTCCAGAAGCAATGTCTTCTTTAATTCTCTCCAATCTCCATATAATCGTCTCGAATCATATCTCGGCGTTTACATGAAGCCCCAACAACATTTAACAATGTGGCAATCATAGAAAAAAAATCTAGAATGTCAAGATTCATTTTAGCTATAGCTACCAAAGCTAATTGAAGTTGATGAGCAAAACAATGAATGTAATAAGCTGATTGATTTTCATTCAAAATCAAAGACTTGAGGCCTTTAAACTCACCCCGCATGTTACTAACACCATCATAACCTTGGCCTCTCAATCTTGACAAGCTTAATCCATACTCAGCAAATAAATTATCAAGTGCATCTTTAAGAGCTATAGCACAAGTTTCTTTGACATGAACAATCCCAATAAACCGTTCTTGGACTAGACCCTTTTTATCTACACATCGCAACATCGTAGCCATTTGCTCTTTATTTCATATGTCACTAGATTCATCAATTAAGAGACTAAAAAAATCCCCATCAATGTCCTTTAGGATTTCATTCATGATTTCTTTAGCAAAGCAGTGAACAATATCTTTTTGAATACTTGGAGAAATCATTTGATGGTTCCTTGGAGCATTTTGGAGTATAACCTTACCCACAGTCTCATTTTGTTCACCGGTATATGCTAATAATTCTAGAAAATTTCCTCGGTTACTTGATTCTTCATTTTCATCATGACCACGAAATGGTATTTTTAATCGTAACAAGAATCTACAAGCCATAATTAAAGCATTCAAACGGATTCGATATTCATTTTTCACATTCTCTGATTATGTGTGAAGTGCAACTTCAATTCATTGACTCTATTTCATCAAATTCTCACATCTTCTAAATTCTTCGTTGTGATAACTATTGACCTTACCAACATGAGATGCCAATCTCTCACTTTTGTTCCATGATGAAAAACCATGTGTTACAAATGCATCACTTCCACATTTATTTTCATGATAATCTCTACATAAATAACAAACAGATTGGTACATATTGACTTTTTGGGAAATTAAGGAAGGGATATTTTGGTGTTGACTTTCCAAAAATACCCTTGATGTGATGGGTAAAAGTAGGATGTGATGGATAAATTATTAGGAAAAAGGTATAATGTGATAGGTAGGGTATGAAAAAGTAAGGGGTAAAGTGGTTTTTTAATAGAAATGTAACAGACTTTACAGGACGCAATTTTTTCGAAACGTGTCGAACTTTTTGGGAGGGGGGAGTATAATTTAGGAACTCGTAAAAGAGTACTTCTTCGGTCCTACGGAATACATCTTTCTTCTCATCTTGAAGTGACGGAAAAACATTTTGAATTGCATGTGATATAACAAACACTATAGCTTCAGGTCTATAATCTAGGAACTTGTAAAAAAGTACTCTTTCTCTCTCAAAAAAAATTCTCATTCTAAAATTTGATTTCAAATTACAAAAAAAATATATTTTTAGTTGTAATATATTGTCAAGGAACCAATTCAACTAAAAACTTAAGCTTGTGGTGGTGGCCCATGAAGAGTTATTTATATTCTAACATATATATTTAATATTAATAGATTAATTTCATAATATAGTTTTGAAATATCATTCTTTTATAAGATATATGTGTATGCATAAATAGCAATATCGATATGGCTAAGCTATTAGAGCTCTTTAAAAGTTAAATTAGAAGAACGATATAGGAGCAATGTAGTATTATATTGTTATAGTTTATCGGCAAAGTTATAGTGACACCTATTTTGGGTGTCAAATTATGACACTGGTCCAATCAAAGGTTCTACGATATCTCCTTCAAAAATTTGATGGTTTATACCCCTCCAGTGAACCTACTGTTAGAATATAAATAACTCTTCCTGGGCCACAACCATAAGCTTGAGCTTTTGGTTGAGTTGGTTTCTTGACATGGTATCAGAGTCTCGTTGACTAACTGGTCACGGGTTCAAAACTCAACGTCACCCAGTTAAAAAAATTAAGGTTTTACGTGCAAGGCTCGAAAAAAACTACGCCTGCACGTGAGGGTGCGTGTTAGAATTTAAATCACTGTTCTTAGGCCACAACCGCAAGCTTAAACTTTTGGTTGAATTGATTTCTTGACACCTACCATCTCGGCCTGACCCACGTCCACACTCTACCCCCGTTATTTGAACTCTCAAAAATTAGTTTTTTTGGGATAAAAAAATATTTGATCGAGAATTCAACTAATTTTTGGGGGTTCAATTGACGGGGGTGGAGTGGGTCTGGGTCGAGCCAAAGTTGGAGTTCACCAAGGGTTAAGTATAGTAACTACTCCCTCCGTTCCACAAAACTCTTCCTCTTTCGTTTTTTTTTGCTTTCCACAAAATACTTCCACTTTCTATTAAAAACCACTTTTACCCCTACTTTTTCATACCCTACCTATCACATCATACTTTTTCACTAATAACCAAACTATCACATCTTATTTTTTCCCATCACATCAAGGGCAAAATTGGAAAGTCAACCAAAATTTCACTTTTCTTTTTTTTCCTCAAAGTCAAAACCGGAAGGGTTTTGTGGAACGGAGAGAGTATGATTTTTCCCGATCAATGTGCTATTTATCACACCCAAAATGAGAGTACGTATAACTCCACCGAAATTATATGGACAATTTAGCAGTCTAATTTCAAACGAGAAGTGAAACATACGATTACGTACAACTAAATTTACTTGCTAAATAAAGAAGAAATTTAAGAAAACAAAAGCACAAATAATTGTGATAAATGCAACCATAACTACATGCACCTACCCACTTGGCAATACATACATGATATGATGATTTTGAACTATAAAATGCCCATGCACCCTACCCCTCCATATATCTCTCTCCAATAATCGTTACTTAATTACACTAGCATATATAGCTATGATGGCTCTTCGTAATTTCATTACCATTATGCTTGCGAGTGCTATTTTCTTACTAACTATTTCTATTGCTCATGCCTCCGATCCCAGCCCTTTGCAAGACATATGTGTTGCAATCAACGGTGCCAATGAGACTGGTAATTTCAACAAATTTTAGGAGTAATAAGTTTTGTATATATATTCTAAATTACATTTAAAAATTATTCTAAATGATTTTTATATTGAATTAAATTTTAACCTCTTCTGTATATTAATTAATGATAGTTAAAATATACTCCGTACTAATATAACTTTGACTGGAAAATTCAAACATGAGTTTTCTATAGCGACAAAAAATGTAATTTAATGATCTATGAGAAATGCTACACTCATAATAACGCTCGCAAAATACACAAACTTGTTATTTGTGAATTTAAATTTCTATTTTTTAGTTATTTAAAGTCAGTTTGTTCTATCTCTTGGTGGCGAACAAATAATAAGATCAGATTATATATTTTGTGATCCTTGTGTTTGTAATTCTAGTATTTTTCAAGATATATTTTGGATGCTTTGTTACCAATATATATACCTCCGTCCCAAAGAAAGACTCATTGTTTCTTTGTTGGGGCGTCTCAAAAAAGACTCATATTTCTTTAGTTTGGAAAACTTTGAAAGTTTCACAATCATTCGATCTCATCTACATCATTTTTAACTACAAATTTTAATTCTTATCAAATTTTGTATCGTCAAACTGGAAGTTTTTTAAATAGAGAGAGTATAGAATTATTTCTTTTGCATAAATTTTGCTCCATTATTTAGATTTGGTCCGAATTATTCTCGATTACTCTTAAGCTTTAGAGCGTTTATATATTAGTAACTTTCAGAAATGAAAGATATAGTTGTAACAATTAATCAAAATGAATGGTTGCATTCAAGGCTAACACAATTGTTACATCTTACCTCCGTCCTAGTGTATTTGTACATGTATTTTGATTTTTTTCAATTCAAACTCATTGAACTTTAGATATCAATTAAATTAAAATTATAGTGTACGAGTATATTAGCATAGAGATCTTTTAAAATTGTACTCTCTCCTTCCCTTAAAACCCTTGTTTGAAAAAAACGTGTCTTTAAAATGAGTAATTTTAATGTTATTTTCTAATTATGACTTCTCTATCACACACATCTCATTGTACTCTATTAGAAGGGCAAAATTAGAAAATTACATCAAATTAAAATTACTCATTTTAAAGATGTGCCTTTTTTAAAACAGGAAGGACTTTATGAGACGAAGCGAGTATTTCATTGTATTAATATGAAATATAATTTGAAAGTAATTGATGGTTAAATTTGTGTTACTACAAACTTAATAGACTGAGACGGATAGAGTATACTCCCTCCGTCCCTAAATATTTACAATATTTGCTTTTTCAGCAGTCGCGAGAACTTTTGTTTATTTCTACGTTTTCATTGGTTATTTGATAAAATAAAATATTCTTGACACCTTTTATTTCGAAGAACTTTTCATGTAGTTTTTTGATATGTAAATTTTATTTTTTATTTCTATACCAATATATAAATAAAATGAATTGAAAAAACTTGATATTTTACTTTGGGAATACAAGTGTGGCAAATATTTAGGAACGGATGGAGTATATAATTTTTATACAGAAGCACAATTCAACTAAATTTAATTTGCTACTGTTCAATTCTGGAGTCGAGGGATGTTAAAGCGTTAAACCCTTCATTTTTATACCCCAAAGTACTTAAAACTATTTCTGTCCATGACTATTTGTCTAATTTTAATTATTTTAAAAACATTTTATATAATAAATCTAATATTGTATATAAATTAGATAAAATAATATTTTAAAAACATTTTATATAACAAATCTAATAAAACTATTTTTGTACGAAAATCTAATATTATTTTTATTTAATTTGAAGTTAAAAATTATCAATTTTAACTAAACAAAATTAAAAATGGACAGATAATCGGCCATTTCCCTTTTCTGGGCTTCCGCTAGGTTAAACCTTGGCTAGAAGTCAAACACTTGTCTTAGGGTCATGTTGGCCTTTCATCCCCGAGTTTTTTTTTTTAAGAAATGATCCTAAATAACAGTAAAACATAGAAAAAGTATTAAAACAAAAGTTTCATATTTTGATTCCCTAAATAAGAGTTTGCACTGTAGTAATGTGACATTACACATGTGCATTTTACTATATTTTTTAGTAATGTATATGGTCATGATTGATAATGTAAATGTATCTTAACTCTTATTTCGAGAATAAAAATATTAAAGTCTTATTTTGATATATTTTCAATGTTTTACCTCTACTTTAGTAATGTATATGGTCATGATTGATAATGTAAATGTGTCTTAACTCTTATTTCGAGAATAAAAATATTAAAGTCTTATTTTGATATATTTTGATATATTAAAGTCTCTTTATGGATTTTTTTGGGTTCATTGTTTCAACCACTCTAAGTACACTAAAGTGCGTGTTTTTCTTTTTCTATATTGGTTAGTGTTCGTGAATGGAAAAATATGCAAGAACCCTGTGGATGTCGTAGCCGAAGATTTCCTCTTTCAGGGCCTCAACGTCCCCGGGAACACGTCGAATCAACTTGGATCGGCGGTGACCGCCGTGAACGTGAATAATCTGCCCGGACTTAACACCCTCGGTACATCGTTCGCACGTTTGGACTTTGCGCCCAACGGAATCAATCCTCCCCACACCCACCCGAGAGCAACTGAAGTCTTCTCTCTATTGGAAGGCACGCTCTACGTTGGGTTTGTGCTCTCCAACCCCCCGCCCGGGATGCAAAACAGGCTAATCACCCGAACTCTCGTAGCGGGGGACGTGTTCGTGTTCCCCCAAGGCCTCATTCATTTTCAGTTCAACATTGGGAACACGAGCGCTCTAGCTTTCGCAGGCTTCAGTAGCCAAAATCCCGGAGTTATTACTATCGCCAACACGGTCTTTGGTTCAAACCCGCCCATCAATCCCAATGTTCTTGCTAGAGCTTTTCATCTGAGCGGGAATCTGGTCCGAAATCTGCAATCACAATTCTGGGTCAATAACAATAGCTAGATATTTGTAAAACATCAAGCTTATCTAATATGGATTACATGTATAATAATACAATATATACTACGTGCGTAAATACTCAAACTGCTGGGGCTCTTGGAATATACAATAAAATGCCCTACCACACAACATAGCTCATGCATGGTTGAAAGGATTGTAATGAAATAAAGTACTCTCGGATCAAACAATGTAGTTTGGTATGTAATAATTTGCGTACTTATATAAATAATTAAAGTTTTGGTTTTTTATGTAAATTATTATTTATCTTTCTTGATAAATACTGGTTGTATATCTATCTCATTATGTTGTTTATCTCATTATGTTAGGCTTCTGAAACGACAACCCTCTCCCTCCATCTTCTTCGACTTATAAACGTGGCAGCTAGTACCCAGATTCAATGAGGCAACCTACTTGTAGGATGAAGTATGTCATAGTAGGGGTGTGGTGCCAATATTTCACCGAGTCTCGCCTATTTTTATCTAAGAGAGTGACTTTCAAATATGATAAGGGTAGCACGTGTTAAGTGCTTTATGATTCTTGAACATTAATTAGACAAGTTGGTCTTAGTTATGTAATCAAGATACTTCGAAGAGAATCAATTATGCTAGAGTGAACCGTGTGCACAGGCGGATCCAGGATTTTACGGTCATGGGATCCCCTACCTAGCTACCTCACATTCTCATGTCAAACTACTTCATAAGTAAGATTTAGCAATAAATTAAATAGGAGTAGATTGAGTACTTTCTTGAATAATTAAAGATGGAGTATTTACTTGAGACACCGGAGCACTAACATTGTTACCAATTCCACTCGACTCCGAATATTTGAATTTGGCTAACTTTTTGATGTACTTTTGCAATTTAAATTCTGTAAATTAGACATAAAATGAACATTAATTCAATAATATTTATCACTTGCAATCCTAAATTAATTTTTTATTGAAGAAAAATCTTTGATTCTTTAATGTATAAATTATTTTATATTACTAAATACTAAGCATACATTCATATATCAAACTTCAAAGTTCAAACTACCATAAAAAATAAAAAATTAATTTTAGTAAAATATAGAAATTAATTTTAGTAAAAAAATTAATTTTACCGTTGAGTCATTGACGGGAGTGACGGGGTCTGGAGAGTGACTGCCGGAAGTGTTGCCGATGGGAAGAAGATGACGCAGGTTGCCCGTCGCTGGTGGCCTGGAGGGCGGCGGTTGGTCGGCGGTCGCAGGGTCTCCCAAAAATTAGGGAGTTAGGGTTCCAAAATCAAAAGTGTAAAATAAAGAATTGGGAACTGGAGAAGAAAGGAGAAATTTACATAGAAAAGGGGGAGGCAAAACGACGTCGTTTTGCCGCTAATTACGAAAAAATTGACTCCAAGCTGAACTAAAGGATTGGGCACATCAATGAAGTCTTCCGCTGAACTAAAGGCGCTTTCATTCAATACTTGACAAGCTTTGTTTATATGTTAATATCTATATATACCTAATACTGGACCTACCCCGGGGTCCGTGGGTTCCCAGGACCCCATGGGACTCAAGGTGGGTCCGCCTCTGACCGTGTGGTCGCTTTAGAAGGAGGATTCAAGGCTTGATCCTCAAAATACCATCGTAAACCCAGGTGTGATGGTTTCTAGCACACCAACTATGGAAGTACAAAGAAATTAAGCGTAATAAAAGATAAAATCTCAAAAATATGCTCTTAAAAATACTTGTATTAACTTGATTCAGCTTTGGTAACAATGAAGGATTCATCCTCTAATTATAGTCTAATATTACTACGCACATGGCATGTAATTTGTGAGCTACATTATCGACACGATTGGCCACGCATCAGCTATGGTCGAGAAATCATTTGTCAATTACCCACAATGAGTGGGATTGCACTCCACTTATATTTCCGAACAGGATTGGCAGGCCGGACCCCCCTGATGGCGCCTCCTTCGGTCCACTAGCATTACGACTTATCCATGATGTGAATTCGGCATTTAATTGTGTTGGGCATTGAATAGTATGTTAGGGCCTACTCATTTTACTCGCTGAGCCCGATATTCATTACAAGCCCCCTAGTTTCTCTAGTGACGTGTCACTAAGAAACTAAAAATGTACACCCCATGTGTCGAGTAGGAAACGACACCAACATCGCTTGCGCACTATCTCGAGTTATGTATTATAACATCTATATACGCCCGTTGTGCTAGTCGATGTGCTTGTGCCTTAGAGGGGGGGGGGAATAAGGCGTTCAAAAACTTTTTCAAAGTTAATTAAAATTGGGGTTGGCAAATGTGGAAGCAATAAATAAAATGTAGAATTAAATGCATAAAATAAATGACAAACCATTTTATACTAGCTCGAAAACTCTCTACTCTAGAACCTTAAGACTCCTCTTTAAGGATTTCTGAATTCACTAAGTACCGGCCTCTTGAACTTCGTCAAAGCACCCTGCTAGATTTTTTACAAACAACCCTTGCCCATTCACAATGGCTATCTCGAACTGCCTACAATGAAGATTTGAAGGCTATCCTTTACCGTTAAAAATGAGAATTTAACGACTATTCTTAACCGTAAGAAAGTGCGTTTGAGAATACAAAATAAGTTCTACACAACGTAACAGATTAACACAATGATAAAAAATAAGACTTAGCCGGTGTAAAAAGAAAATATACTCTCTAGAAAAGATACAATATCAACCTATGGATGTGAGAGTATATATCTAAACCACAAGCTCAATAGTAAGTGTATAAAAATCAAGACAAAAAGACTATTGAAATAGCTAAAATAATAAGAATGAAGAATAAGAATAAGAACACAGTTGAAATAAGAAAAATATGATGTTTGGAGATTGGATTGTTGTTAAAATTTTAAGGATTAAGCCCGTATTTATGGTGAAAAAAATATTAGTGTCCGTTTATGGCCGTTGGGGATTAAATAAGAGTATTAATGGATAATTAGATTTGTTGAAAATCAAAATCAGGATTTCCAACAGTAACGGTAGACAGGTACCGGACAAACGGTACGGTAGAGTACCAATCAAGTGATCTTTGGGTACCAACACATACCATTTTGCTTAAGCGGAATCTGCACCTGGCGATAGCGAGGTAAGTCTGGCGGTACGATCTATCGTTGGGATGGTATAGGGTACTGGAACAACATCAGACCACTGATCTAGTTTTACAAATTTGACTAAATCCTTTTCGTTTGAGTTTAAAACCTTTAGAGTATTTGAAAATGATTATGAGACGGTTTTAAACATATTTTGTGAGTCCATTTGAGTTTGTGAACATAGATGTATAAAATCATATCCTTGCATTTGTTTCTACCTATATTCTACGCTACTTTGATGTTTCAACTTGGTTTTTAAGAATCGGTTCTTAATGTATTCTTGTTGTACCTGAAAAACTCAAACAAACATTAGCTCATATATTGTTTGTTAACATCAAAACACGAGAATTTAGCAAACCAAAACTAACAATTTCCCTCTTTTTTATGTTGACAAACAATATACTTCAAAATTAGTTAGGCAGAAATAAAAATAATGAAGCAAGCAAACCCCCCCTATGAATGAGCATATTCAAAATTCTCACTATGAACTTTTCTTTTGTACTCCCTCCGTCCCGAAATAGATTACAATATTCCCTCACATTTTTGTCCCAAAAAGAATTACAAAGTCAATAACTTTACAAAGAATTGACTCTTTTACCCTCCCACTCCTACACTATTCACACACTATTCATCCATGTGAGTGAGAAGGATACTTGGGGGATTTGGGGGGAATTTAGCGAAAAAAAATTTGATTTGACTGTTCCTTAATTTCAACAAAAAGGGAATATTGTAATTTAAAGTGGGACGGAGGGAGTATATTAAATGAAAAGAGAAGTGTTGGAATATGAGATGAATTCCCCTTCCGTTTCTTGCTGCCTATATGAGTTCCAAATCCACAGGGCTCTTTTTCTTTTTAATATTTTTTCATTTCCTTAGCTTTATCATTTGTTTGTTTAAATAATCGGGTCAATTGGATGATGGGCCTCTTTCATTGCTTTTGAGCTCCAATGTCCAACTCCAATATTTTTCTCTATTTTTGTGTTACAAAATATATCTAAAAATATTTATCAAGGTAAATAATACTCCAAAATGAATGTAAAATATAAACATGTTCAAATTCATACATTTTATCCGTAAAAGGTAAACAATGACCTAAAATGCTAAATAGAATAAAACATTTTTAATTATTATTAAATGCATATGACATTTTGTGACTAAACAAAACTCTCACAGAAGGGGTCCTAAGCTTGTCACAACAGTGCAAGATGTAGGATGCCAAATATTTGTGCGCATTGGCTGTAAATTGCCTAGAAAGGAGATCCCAATTTCTGCACACCTCACAAATAAAGGGGTGGAGTGGAAGTCTAAAGCCGTGAAAAACCGAATCGTAGTGCATCACCATAAAACGTTCTGGCGCCGGATTGTGGGTAAGTGAAATCCCGCCGAAAGCTTCCGGATGATGGATTTTGAAAGGCACTCCCAAGAGATCGCGCATGAGAGCGAGTTCAGAGCTCCTGATCTTGGAGGGGCCGAGTTCTTGGTGAGCAATTTCAATGAATTGGGCCATATTGCGGGAAACCTTCGTGGAAGATTGAGGAATTTGCAGAGAAAATTAGGGACGAATCCGGAATACTGCAGACGCCTAAAACGAGTAGCGAGTTGGAGCAATAATGAAAATGACACAACTCAGGGCCGAGAGTGGGAAACGCAATCATTCCCTAACCAGCGCTCACACCAAGGGCGGCACAACTGTAGTTCCTTAGCGACGTATTGCTAAGAAACTTAGGGGACTTGTGATGGATATTCGGGACTTGTGATGGATAATCGTAATATAGTATAAATATAGGGAGAACTAACCCTCCATTGTAAGGCAAGTGACAAACATTGATATACACAAAGTAATAGAAATACATCAAGATTGATTAATTATTGTTATTATCCGTCTTCTTCGTCATAGTTGTTGGGCTAATTCCCATTATATATATATATATATATACACATATATATATATATATAAATGGGATTGACTCCAGTGAGATGACACAACACACAACACTGCCAATGGAAAGCTCACCAACTGCCAATGCAAAGCTCACCAACTGCCAATGCAAAGCTCACCCACTGCCAATGCAAAGCTCACCACTTTTTTTTAAATAAAAAAAAGTTAAGAAATAGCACTACCATTCAACCACCAGTCAACCACCGGTCCACGGAGACAGTGGGGGTCATCGGTGGTGGCCATTGGTCATGGGCGGTCAAAGTGTAAAGCTTACCAACTATCAATGCAAAGCTCACCAACTGACAATGGAAAGCTCACCAAGAAACAATGCAAAGCTCACCACTTTTTTTATTATAAAAAAAGCTAATAAAATTGCACCACCAGTCAACCACCGGTCCACGACGGTAGTCTGCAGTGGTTGGAAGTCAGCACCACCGTCCTTTGTTTTTTTAATATCATTTTAAACTATAAAGTGTGGTAAGCTTTGTGCACATATTCGGTGATCTTTGCAATGAGAGTGAGTGAGCTTTGCAATGAGAGTTAATGAGCTTTGTTGCTGGGCTTTGTAAGCATTTAACCATCATATTTTGAAAAAAAAGTAAAGTGTTGGAAAATCATGGTAAGCTTTGCAGTGGACAGTGGTGAACTTTGCAGTGATCAGTGGTGAGCTTTGTAGTGATCAGTGGTGAGCTCTAGCGTCATCTGACTGAAACATGTCATCTCACTAGAGTCAATCCCTATATATATATATATATATATATATATATATATATATATATATATATATATATATATATATAGTGCATTTTTAAAGGATTTTGGTGCATTTCGTCATGATGCATTTTCAAACCATTTTGGTGCACATAATTTTGATGCAATCTTGGCCTTTAGATCTCACATTCTAAAGCACCAGATTCATTCTTATGTCTTTAATAAGATCGCATTCTTACCTGAACCAATATATATATATATATATATATATATATATATATATATATATATATATATATATATATATATTTGGGGGCATCTAAAATGACACTAGTTACTTATATAGCAGTTGCTTACACCATTTTGTTTGGGGTAACTACCGTGCCCCATTTATAAAAATGATGGTTCCTACCCCCTAACCATGTGTGTATGTATGTAGGGTTGTTCATCGGTCTGGGACCGGACCGGACCGAAGATCGATTTGTAAAAAAGTAAAGACCGAAGACCGGACCTATAAGCATTCGGTTTTAGACCGAACCGGACCAAAATGAATAGGACCGAACCGATAAGACCTAAAAGACCGAAATTGCATTCGCATTCTAGGCTAACACACTGTAATGCTGTAAAAAAGGGCAATAGAACCAACGAAGAAACGAATAGAGCGAACTTCAAATAGCAGTACTTTACAGAGACAATAGCCCATTTAAACAACCAACCTTAACATTTAGCAATAAAATTGAAAAATTAAAAAAATGGAACAAAAAACCTAATGTTATAGAAGAGCAAATTCTGAAATTAGAAGTGAAATAGGGATATCGAAATGTCATGCACTTGTGTTGCCACTAGCCAGTAATTGAGAGCCCGTCTAGAATTTGTGCGAATCTAACTTCGATTGCGACTAAGGAACAAAGGGTGGGTGGATATTTGGTTCATAGTAATGGGAAGAGATTGAATTGGTGTCTAGGATCCAAAAGTGCATCATCGGGTGATACATAGAAATGGAAATTCAGCTCACTTTAGGAAGTGATGCAGTGCTCCACCCTACAATGATGGAGATCGCTAGTAAATAACTCAGATTGTGTGGATGCGGGATGAGACTGGAAACTCCTTGAGGATATGGAGAGAAGAAGATAGATTTGGGTAAATGAGAGCTTAGTGGTGACCGAATAGACTTTTTAGTACAATCGATCTTTCGGTCCAGACCTAAATAATATCGGGTTTGGACCGGACCGGACCGAGACCTAAATCTTTAAAAATCCAGGACCTAGACCGACCCTAAATGCTTTCGGTCCGGGTTCGGTCTGGACCTATAGGTCCGGTTCGATCTATTTTTTCGGTCCAGACCTAATGATGAACACCCCTTTGTATGTATACACACCAGGACACCGTGTGTGTGTGTATGTATGTATATATGTATGTATAACCTTTGACTTATAGTTAAATAAAATATATAATGAATATTAATTAGATAAAATTATATTTCAAAAATATTTTATTTAAGAAATCTAATAAAACTATATTTGTATCAGTATCTAATATCATTTTCAGTTAATTTGGGGTCAAAGTTTTCCAATTTTGACCAGAAAAGTCAAAAATGGAAAAATACTTTTGGACGGAGGTAGTAATTAATAAAAGTACATAAATATATAAAAATTGCCGGAAAATTAGATTCCCTCAACAATAACAATGAGTTTGACTATTATTTTGAGAGATTATTTAGAATCTATGGATTATGTAAAATCTGTGCTTTGTTTTAATTCAACACAAAGTTGGATAGATTTCAATGCATTTTATGTACAAGATTTATAAGATTTTGTTCGATTGTAAAAAATCTATGGTTATGTCAATTTATTATTAGGAGAAAGACCAAAATAGAACTAAAATGGATGAAGTGAAAATTACTTCATAAAATTCTTATAATTTTCTTTACACAACCAAAATACTCCATACGATTTGATTTCTCAAAGAAAATACACCAGATTCAAAGTACGAAGAAGCACGTTGGTGAAATACAGCAGATTCGAAAAAACAACAGATTCGAGATATACTACAAATCCTTTGTGATAGAGAAGATGACTCTGAGTGAAAAGCACGAAGGGGACGATAAAGGTTGAATGTGACAGACCTGTGCTTTGCAGATCGATTCAAGCACGAAGGAGAGTAGGAGACGACGAAGGATGAATGAGCGCAGGAGTCTTGCAGATCGATTAGGATGGGTGAAGGGAATTGACAAAATCTTTATGTTTTATGGGAGATTTGTAATTACTTGGTAGATTTTTATTTAGTACTCCCTCCGTCCTATATTTAATTTCCCGTTTTGACTTGAGCTCATTTTTAAGAAAGAGTAAAAATTCCTTTGACTTTCCAAAATTGCCCCTCAACCCTTCTACTTCGCTGCCCCTGATTATTGACGTGAGCTTGCCTAACTCCAACAAAAATCATCCAACCACCACAAGCATATATATCCAACAAATTCAAGCTTTTGGAACAGAATCGATTCATCTGTTCTGAAATAAATTTTTTTTGCATATATATACGCTTCATGTATATCAGTAGATACGAAGGAAGATAATCACACATGAGCCTTAAATCGATCATTGACTCCACCCAATTCAAGAAATTTGGTGTATCAAAAACACACCCAACATTAAAAAGGGGTAAAATCAAAGATGTTAAAAAACACAGATCTGAAATACTCCGTAGAAAGAATTAAGTATAAGATGCAATAGAAAAAAATGGATCTGCTCTTCTTAGGCTTTTTAGTGTGTTAATCTTAACAACAAAGAATAGATCTGAAAATGAATGGAATCATAAATGCAATTTTATTCTAGAGACAAAGGTGCAGTGCAACGAAAACAAAATCAAAGACAAAAAAATGAAATCTCGTGAAGGGAAAGGAAATTCGAATCGAAAAGGAAAACTGAGATTTGAGATAAGAAAGAGAAGGTCGCTGGGATGAGATTATGAGAAGTAGAAGTTAGAATTAAGAAGAAATTAAAGAAAACCGATGAGGTTGGGGTTAAAGGAGGACGTGAGAATTAGGAAGGAAAAAAGAAAGGATAGGTTAGAGGGTATTATTGTCATTTGATATAGTAGAAGTTGCCATTTTAAGTAATGGGAAGATAATTTTAGGACATCCTGAAAAGGAAAGTGAGAAGTTAAATTTAGGACGGAGGGAGTATTAAAGTATGTGTAAGCCAACATTTATATCCCAATTTGTACCCCGTAAGTTTGCACTAATATTTTGTATTGGTGTAAAACTAATTTTTGTTAACGCACCAACATTTGTGTTCGTGTAAATTTTTATTAACGCACCAACACTTATGTCGGTGTAAACCATTAAAATGTTTGTGCAAAACTGTGGTTTATAAGTGAGGTACATTTTTTTGGTGTAAGTGTAGCATGGTCCTTTTATTTATACTCAAGCCCCCAAAATCCTTTATAATCCATGCTATATGAAAATCGTTGAAAGTCTACAATTTTTTAATTTTTTTAAAAATCCTTAGATTTAGAAAATTATTTCAAAATTCTAATTGAATATACCCATAATATAAATAACTTTTTAAAATCTTAATCAATAATTTTAGGCGTGCTTAAATAAGCATGGAGTAAAAAAACAGAGGGCGAGTTAGTAAAAGTAAGTGAAGGGCAGAATAGTCTATTCGACGAGTAAAATATAAATAGCGAGTTCACAAAGTTGGGAATGCATGAAGAGAGAGAAACAAGGATTGATAGCGAGCCGAGTCTCCCTCCTCTCACACCTCAGACGGGCAGCTTCCACCACCGCCTCCCTGCGCTACGCCGGGAACGAAAACCAGTCCTGACCTCAAAGCTCATATCGTGTATCTCTCTCTAATTCAATCTGTTTAAATTTGAGTAGATATAGCTATCATTTGCCCCTCTGGCGGGAATCGTGTTTATTCCTTACCGCAATGCAAAGAATAGCTTATTTTCTGGATTTTGTATTTTCAATTTTTTCTATAATTTACGAGATTTTATCTTCAATTTCTTGATTTTCGTAGGCATTGTAGTTGAATTGCCCGGAATGCCATTGTATAAAAGGAAGCCATTTGCTTTGTTGGAAAAACCCGCCGATTTGAACCCCAATGAGGAGGTCTTCCAAGTCAGATTCACAAAAGAAATCTTTAGGGATTATGGGTAAACTCTTAATGTTCTTCTTTTGTCAATAATTGGTATCTGTTTTATATGTAGTATTGTAGTTGCTAGAAACTGAATTGGATTTTTGTTGAAAATTTAAAATTTTAGTGATTATTTGAAGCGGATGAATATGTATCAACAAAGGGTATGGTCATGCAAATTGTCAGGGAAGAATTGCTTGACCTATGAGGAAGCGCTCCTTTCAGAGAAGGAGTCTGGTGAAGAATTGCAACTGTTTCCCAAGGAACTTCTAGCCCCTGTACTTCGAGATCTTCAATTCAGTAATTCCATAACTTCTTGGTTATAACTTTGAGTTTCCATTTTTAAAATTTGATTTTCTGGGATCCCTGATGAGGAAGTTTTGCATACAACCTTCCAAATAGATGTATTCTCAAAAGTAATACTCAGCACGATTCTAGGTGAATCACAAACTTCAAACCAAAAACACTTCTGTCGTTTAGGATGATTATGATTGTGGAGGACTTGTGGATGAAATATTTGGATAATTTGAATATTTCAAATGAATCTTTGTTCTTTTCCCCACAACAGTTGGAAAGTTTTTTTTATTGCCACATATATGCAATTATGCATTGTGCTCAACAAAATTTCCAAGCATTGTGAGCTTATTATATTTCGGAGTTTATGCATGAAACTCCAAGTATGTTATACTCTGAACACTGTGTAGATTTAAAAATGAAGTGTATTCTGGTTTAATTATGGAACTGCTAAGTTAGATGGCCTTTTTTTGTTTTCTGTATTGGCGTGTAGAGTGACACACATCTATGTTGCTTCAAACATGAATTTTAAGCAACTTTATCTTATCTTTCAGTTGTCATTTCATTCCTTTTTAGGTGATGCAAAGATAATGTTTTTGTATGTTTCTATGCTTGTAATATTTATTTATGTGTATTTGGGGTTGCAAGTGAGTCTACATTAAGAGTGCCCGTGCTCAATTTTACTCCTTGTCAGCCCATGCAAAATTAAACTATTTGCAACTCAGTTTTGTTTTTATAAAAAAACTTTAAGATTGTTATATTCTCATGTCCAGGCAAAATTGCAACTCAGCATATGATATAATAATCGAACTTCTGAGGTAGTGTACCTCTATAATTGTTATCCAGAAACTGGATTCAATGCGGCAGTTTATTTGTTCATTAACTATTAGATATTTTACTAATTGTAGGGGAAACGGAAAATGAGAACTTTATCGTTACCACACGGGCACACGATACATGATTTTTAGTTACTCTTTTCTTTGACATGCTCTCTTAATATTCCCTCAAATGCTCTATTTGACACTTAGTCCATTGCATGGAATATGCATTAATGGGTATGTATGGTACTGATATTACCTCAACACAAGATGCAGAGCTCATGTTTTGTCCACATATTCCCCATTGAACAACCTACATAACTTTTAATTGTTTTGGTGATGTTATGAGTGTTCGTTTCTCTTGTATTGAACTCATACTTCTATAATGTGACACATGCTGTGCTGTTCCTTTTATTCTAGGATAAAGCATTAACTTCTGTAACCTTCCTAATTCCTTCATAAGCACTCTCCCTAGTTGCATGTTGGATGCATTATTGGACCTGAATATCATTCACTTTACTTCAACCAGGGGACACATTTTTATCAAAGCTGTCCCATTCCACTTCTTCTTATTCAGTTTCTTAGGCTTTTTTGGTATTCTGAGCGTTGATATCTTATGTCTGGCCTCTGGCTCCTAGACCATTACACTTGTAATTATGCACATTTTATTCCTAGCATAATTTTTCAAGATTTTATAATGTCTACATTGTTTGCAGGTATGCTGAGTTTAAGCGATCTTGTCAACAAAATTGCCATTAAGCTTCAAGGCCGTTTATCAGTGGGTTCCATTCTTTATGGAAGGAAAAATGGCAGTATTCATAGTTGTAGGATTTTAAAAGTTGTAGAGGAGGATGGGAAAGCACAGTATGAGGTTGAGTGGATGGACATATATGATAATGACAAATCTGAAATTACATTTGTGAAGGAAGAGGAGTTGATAAGGAAAAAGCTGCCTTATATTAGAGGTGTTCTTAAAGTTTTAATCAGAGAGTCTACATATCGCAGCATTCCCTGGGTCTTACATGATAAGTTGGTAGCTGAACATGAGATTCCTACTCACCCTCCTCCAGAGTTAGAAAACAAAATTTCTCTCAAGGATGGTTTAGTTGTTGTTAATAAAAAGAGAAAGAATGGTGAAACTATACAAACTGATGTGGTAATTATAAATATTATCTTTTCCTTTGCGTGTGCGAGTGTATGTGTTTTCTGCTGTTACCCTGTTACTATAGGCAATTTAATTTTATTGCTCTTCAGGACAGAGAAAATAATGGGTGGACAGATCCTAAGCGGAAGAATTTTATCAGAAAGAGTTCTAATGCCTTAACAACTGCGGAGACTGGCAATGACGGTAATATGCTCTACTAATTTTACTCCTATTCTGCATATAATACTCAAGATCATAATCTTCATTTGGGTCTCTACATTTGTTTCTAGTCTTTTATATACTTCCTTGTCATGTATCAACACTAATTGCTACAGGTGTTATCTCCACCATCTAACTATCTCTTTTTCTCTACTTACATTGTTTCTTTCAGAAAACGAAAACTTGGATGTGGTGTCTGTTAGATATCCAATAGATGATTTACTGGTACAGCCTTCAGAAAGTGACAAACAGTTAACTGAACGTCCTTCTCCTTCTTGGGATTTCCATGCGCCTATGCATTGTGTTGGGGAACTGTTGATGGTTTGGGAGTTTTGTACAACATTTGGCAAATTTTTGCAATTGTCACCATTTTCCCTTGAAGATTTTGAGAATGCCGTGTGTCATAGTGACAGCAATGTTGTTCTCATTGTAGAATCCCACGCAGCTCTTCTTCGTGTGTTAATGAATGACCATGTGGGCTATTTCTTCACTATACAAAAGAAAAAGAGAAAGTCCAAGGTCATTGTTGAGCATTACTAAGCTTTTTTCGGATTGAATTTTTTCCTGCGTAGGATTATCTAGTCTAGATTGTTGCATTTCTGCTCATGCTCGACTCATCTCAGTTATTGAGTTTGAACAGTGCATGAATCATAGGGGATTGTGGGGTTTGGCTCAAAACCCATTTAGTGTTTGATGGGTATATTGGGTCAAAGTATAATTATTAATATTAATACCCCAATATACTTATCAAGATAAGTTAGCATGACATAAAGGCTCTGACCCGAGAAGAGAACTTTGGGCCGATAACAGGCTGAGCCCATCCGGGCTGGAGAATTAATGGGCTAGATCGAATACAAGTGGGATTGGAATTAGTTACTTTAGGAAAGGTTTACCTAAATTTCCTAAGAAAAGCCTAGTAGGATTAGGAAGCTTGGACATGTACAAATACCCCCAGAAGGGTACGAACAAGGGGAGCTCTTTTCGTCCAAATCTTGAGATTCAATATTCTTGTCTCTTATTCAATATTATTCTGATATTCTACCGTGAGATTTAAGAGAATTATAATCGGTAAAGTTAAACTCCATCACTGTTCATGTTTCACTTGTAGTAAGTGTGGTGTGCCTTATAATGCCCGATTGGAACATAGAAAATAGTAGGGAAATAAAATTGGAAGAAACAATGATAGGGTAATTGGAAAGAAAGATTTTTATAAATATTTGTTCAAAACTAATTCTATTTATTTATTTTTTCTTTATGAAGACTAATAATGGTGTGTGTGTGTGTTTTTAAATTCACCCTATTTCATTATTCTATAACTTTTCCAAGGTATATCCAAACATAATAAAATAACATTCCTTGCTTTTTCCTGCATCGAAACATAACCTTAGAGTTGATGCTGTTTGAGCCTTGGTGTATAACTTTTCATAGAATTGAGTCTTTCTAACATTGCTTGTTTTATAGATGAGTTGTTGATGTACTACTCTGATTCTATGAATTCCCCTTGCTTTTCAGATCACGTTAATTACTTGGACAGAGTATTTGTGTGACTTCTTGGAAATGATGGGCATTGCTAAGTTGTGTGCTCATATCTCTACAATCAAACGCGGTCATTATGGCCTTCTGGATGTTAGCATTAAATTAAAGATCCTTGGGGAACTAGTTGCTCAAACCTGTATGTTAGGCCTTTTTAAGGAGAAGTTGGATGAGGATATTGAGAAGCGGCTGGCACTGGCAGCCGCACGGAGAGATGAAGCTTTGGAAGATGGTAGAAATAGGAGAGAGGAAAAAGAGCGTTCTAATCATCCACCTGCTCTAAATATTGGAGGAGAGGTACACATCAAAGCTATCAACCACAATAGGAAAAATGGAGCACTTTCTAATGAAAGAAAGGAGAACGGGACCTCTTCTAATTCGAAACATTTATCAGAGGACAGGTTTTAGCTCAATATTCAATATTTTATTAATTCTGTACATTACCACCCTCATTCCTCTCATTTCCTTAAATTTTACCTTTCGTTATGAACAGTGAGGGGGAGCAAGTTGATATTACATTAAGGAATTCTATGAAAAAGAAGTTAAATGTGAAAGATGCTGCAGAGAGCAGTAATAATTCATCGAAGAAGGCTGTTTTCAAGAATGGGATAAAGAAAGTAATGCAAAAGCATAGCAAGGACCAAAAGCAAAGGGTTGCACACAAGCTACTGAAGAATCAAATAAAGGAAACAATAGAAAGCAGGAGTAAGGAGCAAAGGGTGGGCTATTTCTTTATCTGTGTAACCNCCAAGTTTCTTTTCTCCCTTCGTTTGTCATGCACGCATGCATGCATGAAGGGAAAATGAAACTTTTGGTCGTAAGCAGTAGGGTAATTATTGAATCAGTCCCCTAGTTATAGACATAACCATGTGTAGTCCTTGATCAATGAGTAAGGTGGTGCAAAAAAGAAAAAGGAATTGTCTAAACATAATTGAAGTGCCTAATTTTGAGTTTGGGTAGACATGATCAAGTGTCAAAATTAGGTACATCGCCAAAAAAGACATGATCATGTGTAGTCCTTGATCAATGTGTTGTCACCCCCAAAAAACAGGTTGTGTTAGGCTGTTAGCACATTGGTAGAACTTGAGTTGATTAAATTTGCTAAGTGTTTGACAAATGTTTGCTTTTATCTTCAAATTTCAAGCATTGTGTCATTAATCTGTTTTTGAGTTGCAGAAGGAGTATCTTGATCGAGAAATAGAAAAGAGAATTATACGCACCAGTCCGCTGGGGAAAGATAGAGACCATAATAGATACTGGTTTTTCAGACGTGAATCAAGAATATTTGTTGAGAGTTCTGACTCCATGCAGTGGGGATATTATTCTTCAAAGGAGGAGGTATACTAATTTTAGACAGTGGTTGGCAGCATGTTTTTTTTTTGAGTTGTAATCTCTGATGTCATAATGGTTTGTTTCTTTTAACAGCTCGATGCTTTGATTGGTTCACTTAATGTGAAGGGTGTAAGGGAGAGGGCTCTCAAAAAGCAACTAGAGAAGTTTTATGACAAAATAATGCAAGTTTCAACTTAGATGTCTTATACTGTATATATATATTTTCTGGTTCAGCTGTTCTTTTCTTGAAACTTTGTTTTTTTCTGTGTACTCAGCCTGGAAATTCAGAAGACATCAAAAGAGGCAACCCATGAAAGTTGTAAAGAAGACTCTGTAGTTCGGAGGTCAACCCGAGTTCGTGCCCCACCGGGAGAAAATCCCGCTCTTGCATTCCTTAAGTATGCAAACTTGTGGAAGGAAGAAAAAAGTGCAAAGAAAAATTCCAGAACGTTTGATGGGATATGCAGAACCACGAATACACACACGGATCTGGAAAAGAATTAAAAAAAAATTTCATTTCTTCGGGTCATTGCTAAAAGCCGGCCATTCTATGGTTGTGATGTACCTATTTTTGAGTTTGGGTGTTTTGATCTCCACATCCACGGATGGTGATGGAAGCCAAGTTGGATCCATTCCACTCCAGTATGTTTTTGGTAATAGTTCAGGGTGGGGATTTTCTTCATTTTTTTGCAGATACGGCTTAAGCAGCTTGGTTTTTGGCTACCATCGACTTTGTACCTTCAGGCTACTAACTCCTCCCTAAAAAATGTTTTATATTTTGATTTTACGAAGTTTAAGAAAAGTGTTGAAAAGTAACAAGTGTATAATTGTGAGAAGTTGCCTTCCATGAGGGTGTGGAAAGCCTATCTTCCCACGGATGCGCGAGCATATCACGACACTCTAGAATTGTTGCGAGAAGCTTATGGAACTTGAGATTGCTCGCAAAGACCATGCTAAGGTAACCCAACATAGGTGACATCATACTTTGCACAAACCACACAGGCAATCATCGTCTTTGATGCACAAACAATTATTGTTTGTGTGTGTCTGTGCAAAACATGATATCATTTATGTGAGATTACCTTGGCTTTAACTCACCCTCAGTCCATCAATGGCCCTTCTCTCAAGCAATCTTTAGCGATGTCGATGAGTTCAATAGTGAGATTATCATTGAATTCAATGCTTCCATAATACCCCTTGAGCTAAAGACCATGATTGCTGCAAAAAATGCCCCCACCTGGGTTGCCAAACGAGCTTCAGTCAACATTCATCTCCACCGCCCCAAAGCGTGGCATCAACCATCGAACCCATCTAGGAATCTTTCTCTCTAAGTAGATTCGATCACGAGTTCGGGTACCCAGCTTGCCCGCAAAAGGCCGCCGGTAAAGTAGCGGGTTTGGTCTGGATATTTTAGGCGTCGACATTGGAGACATAGTGGTGGAGGACAAAGGAGACCAGGCCTTCGGCCATGGTGTGTTCGACGTGCTACACGATGTGATACTGGTAGCCATTATCTTTAGTATCTCTCTTATGTCTAATACATTGTAATGTTTAATTAGGTTTTCTAATGTTTGCTTTTTGTCGGATAATTCACGATGTGTAACGACGTTGAAGTATTATTTTAATGTCTTATGAGTTTTGATGTTTGATTATAGTGCTGTTAAAATTCTAATTAAACATATGCACTCTCACTTGCCCAAATAATATATTCACTCACAACTAACACAATAATATCTACTCTCACCTACCACAATAATATCTAATCCAACCTATCTAAATAATTTCTACTTTCATCTAAAACGATTATGTTTACTGTCTAACCCATTATAAATAAGACTAACATCATCATGTTCAGTCACACAACATCTTCACCCAACTCCGCCTCACCTAATTAAACATTACAAACTAAACGCTGTACTTATAGCTCACTAGAATGGTGATCTTTGGTCCAGAATAGAACTATTTCAAACTAAGAAATGGTCTTGATACTAATTTTTGTTTCTAATAATTGAAAAGAAAAGCAATGACTATTGATCCTTGCGGTTGGTTTTATGTGCATCACTCAGACACTTCAATTTATGTGGTGTGTGTGTGTGTGTGTGTGTGTGTGTGTATGTTGGTGTAGATATCCATCCTATAGAGAAAAGAGTATTCACTTTTATTGGAGAACATTTTTTATACTCCGTATCTGTTTTTTGGGCTCATTGTGAGAAACTTTTTGGGCCAGATGGTGTTAGCCCACTTATCATTTTTGGCAGTGGACTCTGATACGCAGCACCAGCAAGAAAAGAAAAGAATAATTTCCGCCCTACGTGTTTGGGAGCCCGGTTAATTGTTAGTTGTCCCAAAATTATTCTTTGATAATTAATTTGTATTTGCCTCTATTGTTTATTAGAGAGTACTTGTTGTGTCCATTTTGTTCTCGGTGAGTAGTTGACGTTTAGGCAAGAGAGGCCTGATCCAGGATTTTGTGATCATCGGATCTCAAATTCTAAAACTTGCAAATTGTGAGGTCTCGAGCAAATGCATATATTTTAAGATTAACTTCGAAACAATATTTTTTATTTGAATAGTAGTACAATAATTAATAACACAGACACACAGTCACAAAAAAAATAATAATAATGTGGCATCCTTCACTATATGCTATACACCAACCAACCAACGATATTCAGAAAAATAAGTTGAAATAAATCTACACTTCCTTCTGGTAATTATTTTAGAAGGAAATGCATTGGTGAATGTTGAAAAGGCCATTTTATTAAGATAACATGTTCGAACCCCAAATGTTTTCTTTCTTAATTCGAGTTTAGCTTCCAAAGACTCAGAATCAAAATTATCTTCAAATCCCTTTTCTTCTTGAACAGGTGTAGATTGACCATTTATTCGAGAAACTGGAGCAGTAGTATTAGAACTATAGTACCACTTCCATTAGATTCCGGATCTATAAATTTGGGTTGTTTTTTCCTACTCAATATTTTTGCATTGTAAATCCTAAAAAAATACTAATTACATATTCTAGAGTTAAACTAACATTAATACTATGTTTGGTTCAAAGAATTTGAAAGAATTAGAAAAAAGTTATCTCATTCTTCTCACAAAAATGGGAGGAATTTCCTTCTCATTTTCTTTTTCTTCTACATATTTTTTCTTTTTCTCTTTGACAAAATATGAGAAATTGTATTACATCTCATTTTTTCTTTTCCCTTTCGAATTACTTCAACTAACAATAGTGTAATAATTATTAATTTAATCAATTCATAGTGAATAAAACTCACAATCAATTAAATTAATAAATTATATTATTTGCACAATAAATCATAAATTAAATAATATTATTTAACTGGTCAAGCGGTTGTCGCCGGCTGTCACCTGGGGGTCGGGCGGCTGGACTTGGAGTCGGAGAACGCAGGCGGCCGGCACCATAGCGCACCGCGGAGATGGAGGAGTCAAATTATTGATCGAGGAAGAAGTAACAAGTAGGATACAACACCTACAAGGATCAACTTCAAGACAACCAACCAAACACTCTTGACCCAATTTACCACAATTGATTTACCAAGCACACAAAATTAGTAGCACATCAAATAAACCACAACCAAATATGAAGAATAAAGATGCAAACGGCACACAATTTTTATACGTGGAAAACCCCTTCGATGTGAAGGATAAAAACCACATGACTTATAGGGAGTCCGCTCTCTTCTTCTCTTATTATGCAAATTGAGGGTAAAACACCCAAACTCAGTCTACAAGGATCTCACAGCCCACCAACGACAACATACATAAGAGCCATCAACAATAGAGAAGAAAAAATCAGAAATATCACCCAAAAACGCAGGCTGCTCCTGCTGCAATTTCTGAAGATCCGTAGCTCCGATTGATGTGAAAATTGAACATATTGAAGCCCTAAGTTTTGGGAACAATCTTTAAAACTTTAAGCTCAATGCAACACTCGGATCTCTGGCGATGAACAGATTCGTGCGGCTGGTCCAAAAAATTTGCACCAACGCCCTTCTCTCTCTTCATTCTGTTTTTTCTCTTTGTTTCGTAAGTCACTGCCGTCTCTCGCGGAAAAACCCAGACATGCACAAGCTCCATTTTTACCTATCAAACCAACATTAAACTCAAAATAATAAGCATCAACAAGTCCTAAATCAATACTCAAACATTTCCTAACATGCTCTTGAACAATTCTAAACTAAATTATGCATCTTAAGCCATCAACAACATAAACAAGGCGTAAGTCACGTAGGTTCAAGTAGATCAACCGTAACGATTCTACGAACGTAAGATTCAAACATATGACTATAACCGTACGATAGATGTCCACGTACTCACCTCAAATTCGACTATTAAGGATTACCGAATAGTGTTAGTGACAGAGAATCGAACGACGAATTCCTCTTCCTTCTTCTTCCTTCTTTTCTCCTTCTCTTTTCTTCGTTTCCAATTGTTCCTCCTCGGTGCAGCTGCTGTTCTTCGATCAAAAGAGAAACGAGAGAGAGGGGAGGGAGTTTACGTAAATTATGGGAGGCGTAAAAAGGTTTTAAGCGTGTAGGAAGTATATTTATAGGTTTGGGGTTTTGGGCTCCGTATTAACTTAACGTACCTGGCCCAAAACGCACTTTTCGGGCCCACGGGCTCCAAATCCAAATCAGATTGCATCGTTGGATTTGCTCCATCGAATCCTACACAATGGTATAAACCTTATTATCAAACGAATAATATTTCATAATTTCACCGAGTCTGTGTCAGTAATTAATTCAATATTTTTAATTAATTAATTCTGATAGGCCGGGTTTCGAGGCGTTACACATGATATCAAATGATTTGATTATGAATTAAGAATCAATTTATATGGGTGTTCAATGCATTAGATATCCTTACTCAACTTCACCACTAAGCGTGTAGTATGTTTTATTTTTTACACGCAGCTAAATGAAAAGAACGATGTGACATAATCCTGGCAGTAGACTGGGGCGAGATTGTCGGAATGGATGTGATGGTTTTGAACTGTTATTTCAAAAAGACATGAATGAATTATATTTTGTAATTATGATTTGTTAAGTTTCCGTAACATTTAAAACTCCGTTTTGTTTTTGTTATAGATATTATTTTGTGATGAATAAAAGTGTTTGAAATATTTTTAAATTATACGATTACCAAATTTATACTTTAATCCGAAAGGGGCTGCAGACCTGACGGATTAGGGTGTTACAACACTTGTCTTAGTGCATTTTGCAAAGGTGAATTTATTTACAAAATTTCGTCGTGATATTTTCAATTTTTTCAGAGTTTTTGATTTTTAATAGCCCTTAGATCCTAAATCTAATGGATTATATGCATTCTCATTTCTTTCACTATACACAATTCTCTTTTTTTGCACCATTCTCATTTGAACATACATACATACACATACATACATACATACATACATACATACATACATACATACATACATGCATACATGCATACATCCAAACATGCATCCATACATACATACATACATACATACATGCATCCATGCATACACACACACACACACATACATACATACATACATACATACATACATACATACATACATAGATAGATATATATATATATATATATCATCCTAAATAAGACTAAAATAGAGAGAAAAATATCAAAATAGTACTTTCATATTTTTTTTCTCGAAATAGGACTTTGCACTATGATAGTGTGGCATTGTACATGTGTACATTACTATACTTTTTTGGTAATGTACATGACTATATTTGGTAATGTAAGTACTATTTCGAGAATAAAAACATGGAAGTCCTATTTTGAT